ACACCGCTCTTAGGAGCTCAATAGCCTGGAAATTCTGAAAGGCTGCTTCTGGCAGAGGAGTAATTACAATGCCCGCGGCCATCCCACCTCACGCTGGGATCCCGCACAACATAACAAGCAATGGAAATGCTGTCCTTCCCGCTGGTTTTCGACAAGCTCCCAGGGAAAGCGGTGCCAAGGCAAGTGAGAGAAATTCTGGACAGTAGTGGATTGTTTGATAAATTTCATCCTGGATTCAGCCACAGCCATGCTACTGAGGCTGCCCTTGTCAAAGTCATAAATGGTTTGAATGCCACTGCTGAAAAGGAAGCCTGGCCTTGTTTGTACTATCAGATCTAGCCGTGGGGGGGTTGTTCTGTAAAAGGCTGGATTCTGTTGCAGTGCCTAGGTGACTGCCTAGTGTTGACTGAGAATGCGTTGAAATCGTTCCAGCGGTACTTGATTGCTTTCCCCAATCAACAGAGTAGGGTAAATTCTCCTCGAGAGCAGCCAGTTTCACATAATGACACTTGATCCCAGGGAGAATTCACCAGCAGCCTGACTTAGTTGGCTCTAATGCTTTACACTCCTTCTCTTGCCATTCACAGAGATATATGAGATGCCTTAGAGCAGTGTATTAGAACTTCTTTTTGGCTTTGTTGAAGAGGACTATATTTCTAAAAGTACCAACAATCAGATATTCAGAAACAAAGACTTTCTTGTGCAGTTTGATAGAGATAAAACATTTGTTTCTACCTGTTAATTTTAAGTCAGACTTCTTTTTATTTTTTTTTTTATAGGAGGTCTGAATTCTGCTTGTAAATCTGGAGTGAAAGTGCTGATGCCAATAGATTCATAGAGTTGTAACTAATTTAAGAGGAGAATCTGACCCAATTGTCTGAAAACCAGAAGTCGGTGAAAAAGTTACCTTGGAACTTCAGTTTACATTCATGACCAGTAAACATAAAGAGTCTCCAGTGCTGCTTCTGCTACTCAAAAGGCACTCCAGTTCAACCAGTAGCCTAGCACAAGAAATTTTTTATTCTCTTGGTTCTCTGGCTGTGGCAAGGATGTGATCTGCAGGAGAATTGGAATTTTTTTCTGTTCTCTCATTTCTCAGGCTATAGCAAGGTTGTGATCTGCAGAGGGATTGCAAAGCTGAGACCAAAGACCTGAAAAGGGTTTTAGCCACAGATCTTTCTGAATCTCATCAGTGGGAAAACACATTTGCTTGTCCTCAAGATGCCTCTCATCGATAACATAGAGTATCTGAAATTAGCATTCAGTGAGATTAGCTGTAAAGTCTCCAGTCTAAGATTATCAACAATGTAATAGGTCAAGCTGCAGAGAAGGTTTGCATGGACCTTCACATTTGTAGCAGAGATGGGTTCTTGGTCACTGTAACTTCAGAGTCTGTAAAATCAGAATATGACTAACTAACTTTGAAAACAAAAATGTACAGTATGCGAAAGAGCTATCCAGAAAAATTAATTTATACATCAGTTTTCTCATGTGTCTGCATATGTCCATGAGCTCAGGCAACCTCTTATCTTCAAGGAGCCCATAAAAGAGGGTGTTTTTTCTTATTTTTTTACTTCATGATATAATAAATTAAACTAGTATACTGAATTTAAAAAGACAGATTATGTTCATGTGCAGTGGGAACCTAAACAAAACTGAACTTCAAATCTTTAACTCCCATAAAAAAAACAGTAAATAATTAAATGTAAGTACCCCTTTTTGCTACTAAAATGATACAAAAACATACATTGAATCTATTGAACATTTCAGCTTCCCATTTTCCTAACATGCACATTAGTTATCTGAATAGAAAGGTCATTAACATGTAGCAATAAATTGAAGAATAGTATTTCATAGGTGGCATAAAGACATCAGAATTTGACTTAGCACGTTTATTAACACTACTGAACAAGTTCTGTTTAAGAAGCTAATAAAAATGATACCCTATCCGTTTTCTTCCCAATGCATCTTAATTTCTGTTAGGCATGCCCTGATTTTTAAATCAATCTTGTATTTTTACTATGGAAGTATCTAAACTTTCACATGGAGAATATATTTATGCTTCGCTTTAAAATGGCATTTTAATAGCTTCTTTTTTTATATTAGATTTTGCAAGCAGCTTAGTAAAAACCAGTGACTTCAGTTTCTGTGTTATGCCTAACCATCCCATAGCAGGGCCCTCAGTGCAAGTTTTCTTTGTTCAGGAATGTTCATGTCTTCTGCTAATACCTTCATTGCTAATCATAACTCAGAAGAATAAATCCTGCTGCAAGTTGAAAACCATTTTACAATTAATGTATAAATTAGTCAATCATAATTACATTGTGCTATCTCGCTTTGTTTTTACAGCCTCTTACCATGCTCAGACAAGAAAATTAGACATACAGTGCTGGGTGATATATAGGTGGCAGTGCTGGAGAGGATGTATTTTAACATCCTGAGTTTGACAGGCTTATGTAAAAGTTCATCACTTTCATCATTTCAGAAAGATGAGACTTAGTTTGTTGATTTGTTCTACTTGGCTTTGATTTTTGGGTCTTCATAGTAAACCATCTTCCCTAGGTCATTGTGCAAGACAAAGAGAGACAGAACTTAATATTTTTTTAAGAATTCTTTCAGTGTTTCTGACAACATAGCTGTTTTTCTTAATCAAGCTAACACTGTTTCAATGCGTAATATTTTATAATTGAACAAGACCAGTTTCAGATGGTTCTTCTTATTAAGAATGTCTTCTGGGGAATAGGAAGTATTTGCATTGGCAGTAGGTTATGAGATACTGGGACACAAAGCTGTCTAGACCCCTTTCTGACCTAACAGGTAGAGTAATCTGGGGTGAAATTCCACTCTGTGGGAGAATAATATTTTAAAGAAAATTGGGACAAAGGAACTGCTTTCCATATCAACAAGGTTTTTTTTGACAAAAATCATTCTAAATTAGCCAGACTTTGAATTTCATTTCTATCTAGTTATATTTAGCCTTTCTTCTCTTCAAAATGAGGTTGACTAACTTCCTGTGATGCAATTAAATGTCCTTAAAATGGCACATAAGTAGAAAGAAACAAACTAAGTAAATACACTGTTCAAATAGCCTTACGTTCTTAAGGAAGTTATAAGGCTGCCCTCTTCTGTCAAGAGGTTCCCCCTTGTTCCTACTTACTTCTGAGCATGCTTTTAATGCTATGAGCATGAATGTTTTACTCATCCATCCCACTTCACTTTTTAGATCTGCATCGTCTCTGACTGACACAAAACATTTTGTTAAACAAGTGTGCTCAGAAATCTCAATTTCAAGAAAAAAAAAGGATTAGGAATATGCTTTTTTTTGGTCTGGGATAGTCTCAAGGCCTTTTCTGCCTCTCACCCCACACCTCCAGCAGGAAGGCTGGGATTGCACAAGGAATTGGGAGGGAACACAGCTGTGATACCTGCTGACCACACCATGTGGTGTCATGCTCAGCATATAAAGCTCAGAGAAGAAGGAGGAACGGGTGAATATTTGGGGTTATGACATTTGTCTGCCCAAAGTCACTGGTAATGACATTGGTTTCCATGAGATGGCTAAACACCTGCCTGCCCATGGGAAGCAATAGATTAATTCCTTGTTCTGCTTTGCTTTATCTGTTTGTCTTCACCTAAATGTGCAAGTTTTCTTTCACTCTTCTGCTCTTTTACTCTCCTAATTGTCTCTCCCATCCCATGGGAGGGAAATGAGTGAGTGAGTGAGTGAGTGAGTGAGTGAGTGAGTGGAACTGAGCTGCCTGTTGGAGTTAATATACTACAGATTGCTGAGTGGCAATAATAACATAATTTACAACACCAAGCTCTTAAAAGCATGAGTAGTAAAAACATCAGAATTCATACTACAAATACTCAGGAATATCTCATTTTCTTGAGATGATGACAAAGGAATGACACTTAACTAATACTAAGAAAACTATTTTGCAAGTCAAAACTTCCCTCTCTGAGAGAGATGAGGATGTAGTAACCACAGTATAAGCTGAGAAGAACCAGGACATATTTTAGCTGAGTAGAGAAGGAAGGTCACCTCCCAAGAACCTTCAGAGTATGGAAATGTGAAGACTTTTTTGAGAGGCAATGACTGAAGATGCAAGGTTATGATCTGAAATGACATGGCAAATGGTTGTTCTCCACAGTGTCTTAAAAAGGTGCCATAGGGAGAGCTTGTGGGAGGAGATGAAGATTTTAGCTTCAGCAATGAGGAGCTCACTGACACAGTGACAAGGAGACATCAGTTTGTTTCCAGTTTGATAAATCTGGTTACAAACACATTTCAGGACAGCAACAGTGGTTGAATTTGTGCCCTGCAGTCAGTAGGTCAGGTAGGTTAAGGAAGGGATGGAATCTCCCAGATCTGTTTGAGAAGAAATCAGCGGAGAAATTGGCACGAAGAATGCCAGTGGAGTTGCAGCAGGTGGCCTAGCACTGACTTAGAGATGAATTCCAGGAAGCAAAAGTAAACAGCACACAGCATGCTTACAAGATAAGAGGGACAAGAGCGAGATGCAGCTGTGGAGGCAAGCAGGTTCAATGTGTGTTTTCAAAGTGGAGAGATTAAACACACACTTGTTTTGAGAGGAGGGAGAAGCCAAGGCAAATAACAGTGTACATAGAGGAATAGAAAAAGAGGTAAGCAGGCATCAGGGAGAGGAGAAGACAGACTATCTTGTTCTGCTTAACGTGTGTATCCATTTTGCAGATCAGAACTGCACTAATTTGGGAAGAAGTTCATATAATCCATAAAAATGAATTTTATTAGCCTTTCTTTACTTGAATCACTGACTTCTAAAGAATGAGAACAGCCATAAATGCTATTGTCTCCACAGGCAGCAATTTGAAAATAGAAGATGCATGGTTACACGATAAGTGTATTTTCTTCATAAAAAATGTTTGCAAATCAGGTTTAAAATAAGGGAAAAATAACCTTAAAATATTCTGCACATCAGAAAATAATAAAATGTCTTCTTATTTTCCCCTGGTAGACCACGCAATGCAGATTACTTTATGCAGGAAGCTAAACGGAAGAAGCATAAAGCAGATGCAATGGTGAGAACATTTTCTTTCCAGTTACATTGCTCCAAATAACTTTCGTAATGCAGTTTCTTCATCAGCGCAGTATTGCTGGGGTAATTATAAAATCTATTATAAGGATGGCTAGGCTTGTTAAATTAAGAAATGTTTATATAATCAAATGTTCATAGCCCAATAAACTATGACTTAACAAATAATGACTTACTGAGATAAAGGCCTGGATAAATAAAACTTTCCATTTATCCCTTTGCTTTAATTAGTAACTATAGTAATGGAGGCTGTGTAAAGAATCCACATACCTATCTTCTCAGTTTAACTAGCTGGCTAGGTCCTATAATTGCATATCCAAATTTGGTCTGGTAGCTGAGGTATTTGTACGTTTTTAAAGAGCTTTGGCTTTTCAGTGCCAGAAGAATCCTGGTTTCATGGCAGATATTTTCCTACATAATCATAAGCACACAAGGAATATTTGTAACCCTAGAGGAACACCTAGCACACAAAGTACTGTTGCAACAAACAGATTCATGACCCTGGCTTTGACCTGTCTAAAAATGTAGGCAGTTAGAAAAAGAGGAATCTGAGGTTGTATGGAGCACTGAAGAGATGCTTGTCTTTCCAAACAAATGGGTGCAACTAAGTATGCAGTGCTGCAGCAGAGCTCTGCTTAGCTGTCCCTCAGTTCTCTCCAAGGCTGTGCTTGTCCAGCGCCACAGATAAGCCAGCACAACATGAGGTCTTTGGGATGGCAGCATATGGAGTGGGACCCTGCATTAGTGTGGCTGCTTTGCAGATGGGGGTAGCTGCATTCCTGCCTTGCTCTGTCAGACACACCTTTGCTGTCATACCATCATGAAAGAAGAAAGGTGGCTCAGAGCCTCTTTTTCTTCACCACTTCTCAGCTGTGCAGAGTGCAGAGAGGTGTGCAGAAAGGCCAAGGAAGCAGAAGCAGGTCCTTCATTTAGAACACTAACACTGACTTTTACACTCTACCTGAGTTTATTAGCACAAATTTCTATGTTTTATTCAGTTCCATATTACTCTAAAGTGAGTCTTAAAATCAGAGAATACTGTGGAGAAGTACAAATGGTGCATTTTAGTGTGTTGCTTTAAACAAAATGGAAAGGATCACTTAATATGCAAAGGAAATTCTTAGCCTGGAGAGAAATGTTTTTATGGTAGACTCCCAGAAAGACGAGTTGCAAGCATTATTCTCTGTTGTGCCACAAGTTTGCTGCATGAAAGTCACCTAGGCACAATTTAAATAGCTTTCTATCAGTATCAGGTGGTTGAAATATTGTCCACATTCAGCTTTCCTACACAGTGGACCAGGACCTTACTTACACCTTGTGAACAGCCCTTTGCAGGTGCTTCCTCTCCCTCCCTGGCTGTGTAGGCATCCTGGGGAAAATGCCATATTGCCAAAGTGCCTCCAGGCACTTTGAATCACCTTGCTGGGCTTGACACCTCCTACTTTGGCACTGCACTACCTGACACAGGCACTCAGAGTGAGCAGCTTGAAAATTGCTCTAGGTCTCTTTGCTCCTCAGTCCCCCATCTGTGAAATTGGGATAATAGCACTTCCACCCGCACTGGAGCATCAGGGGGAGAAATATAATAAAAAGTTTGTGAAGTTCTCTGGTATGATCGCAGTGGGAGTCATATAAGAACCTAAAATAGATTGAAGCTAGTGTGCCATTCCAAAGTTACTATTTAAAATCTTTATCCCTTGGAAAAGAATAAGGTCCATTAACCTTTCACTGTGTGCATCAGATTTCAACCAAATGCATCCAGTCCATTAATGGGCTTTATGTACCACGGGAGTTCTGACTGAAGGAGAGAGAAGTCGGGACAGAGAGGTATTAGTATGATTCATCTCTCTCTTCACATCAAAAATGAAATTCTGAGGGCAGAAAAATGGCATGTAAGTGTACATATATGAACATTATGTGCATATTTGCATATACACTGTTACTGAGACCATGCATGTATATGCATTTAAGTGCACAAATACACACACAAAGTCAAAGAAGTACCAAAAATAGAAGAAACGGGGCAAGGAAGGAGGATGACAGAAAATGCTGAGGGAGCAGAGCAGTCCCTGAAAGAGGAGGAGGGTAGAGAAAACAAATTCCTGACAAGAGAAGAACAGTGCTGAAAATGGTAGGGATAAAGAAGATGGGCGAACAGAGATGAGCCTTTGTATAAGAGTTAGCAATGGAAGTATTTAATTCTCTTCTCTTAGTTCTCAATATTCATTACCATTCTTTGCTGAATGATAAAAAAACTACACCTATAAAGATGTGTGAAACCCTTTTTAATGAAAGATGAAAGAAGGAGCAAAAGGCAGCATCAATTTGTGGAATTTCCACCACTGGAAGAGCTTTGACAAACATGGTTGGAAATGTCCTAGGCAGAGCTGACCCTTATTTGGACACAAGAATGTGGAACAAATAATACCTTTTTTAGATATTAAGATATATTTGGCTATTTAGATACAGAACCTTTTTTAGCTCTATTTTCTGTATTTTATGATTTTCACTGATGCACAGGTTTTGATGGGTATTAGCTTTCTCACAGGAAAAATTGTGAACCTGAAGATATATCAACTTGTGTCAAGTTTACAATATTTGTTGAGATAATCCCATCAAATGTAACAACATCCTGATGATTACACTACATCCCTGTGTCCTTATTTTTTCTCTCTAGGTGGAGAAGTTTGGAAAGGCACTGAATTATGCAGAAGCAGCACTATCATTTATTGAGTGTGGAAATGCAATGGAACAAGGCCCAATGGAATCTAAATCCCCTTATACCATGTATTCAGAAACAGTTGAACTCATCAGGTAGGAAAGGGAGAAGATGACCCTAGGGGTTATTCTGTGCAAACATGCTAATCTTCATTATCACCTGTTTTCATACGTGCAGTAAAAGGGTAGAAGTGAACTCCTTACACGGGCCTGGTTAGTCATGTGTAATGTATATGTATTATCTGTGATTTCTGTGTGAAATTAATTTCTGTGAAATTAAATCAAGAAACTGTGAAGAATAAGAAAAAAAATGAAAGAAACAAACAAAAACACAAACAAAAAAGCCCAAAGACTTTCCTATTACCTGAGCTGCTAATTACTTCAAGAGTTTCATGATGTAAGTCCTGAGCTACTCAGTGGAGAAAACCAGTCATTCAGAGTAACAGAATATTCTCATGGAGTGGTAACTTGAAAAATATTGCAATATGTTTAAGATTGCTGTTTAAAGATTACATGAAAGATGTGAACAGTGATAGAAAAATGGACAGTCAAAGTACATTTGATGTGGGTGCTCTTAATGTAGCCAGTGGAGTCAGAAGCACAGCACACCCTAGAGCTACCCCTACCTTCAGTCACCTTCATGGCTCTCCAAACGGCACTCTAGAATTCAGTGCCATCCACAGTCCCACTGAAAAAAATATGTCTCGTAAGTCCTCTTCTCCATGGTTGGTACTTAAAATTAACATTTTGGCAGTGTCATTGGTAGAGAAAACAAAGGTCAAAATCATTGCAGCAGCTGAGGGACTCTGCAAGAGAATGACCCCAGACACACTAGTGGAGAAATCTGCACTGACAGTGACCATGGTATCATTCCTCAGGACAGTCAACCATGCACATCTTGTCAGGATTAAGCTCATAGGAAGTAACACATTTTTATTTTTAAATGTTTTAATAATGAATCAGAGCTTCTAAAACAAAAGCATTCTTTTGGACTTAGTGTTGATGTGAAGATTTTTTTGCATGTTAATAATTCCACTGGCATTTTATTCCACTTAGGGCTGTCTTCTCATGCATTTCAGTGGATTGAACTGATTAGTGATTTCTAACTGGAAGTTTATTGAACAAAATCAAATACTTTTTTTTTTTTCTGTAAGAGAACAGTACCTTCCATCTCTGCTATTTTTTCCTTCTTTTTTTTTTTCCAATCTCTGTAATTCCTCTCTTCTTTTTTTTTTTTTTTTTCTCCAAAAGGCAGAAGGCTCTTTCTTTGTCTGCCCTGTCTTTTCTCATGGTGGTAAATACATGGTCCAGACTCTGGAAATTAATTTTGCTTGCAGATCCATAGTTTTCAATAATGTGTATAGCTATGGCCATGTTGTAATGTGAATTGCTGTTGATTTCGCTGCAACTCAGAAAAATAAGTAGTTTGCTAGGTATGCCTGTAGAAAAAAAATGTTCGTACTGAATCTTTGCACAGATATCAGAATTAGAGTTTGAAAGCAAAGGTAGGAAAAAATAACAAGAAGCTAATTATGGGGAACAGGTATTTTTCTGGAAGTGAGCCCAGAAGCACTGTATGTTGTTCTAACCTTGTCTGTTGTTCAGGTATTCAGCTGGAAGCTGAGATTTCCAGAAACCAATTTGTGATTGCATAGCACATACACTCTTGAAACACTAGTGCTACCTCTGTGGATCTTTAATATTTATAGAGTTTGAATGTAATGTCATGTGAGCAAAAATAGCTCTGAGCCACATGTTTCCCCTCTGCTGTGCTGTGCTTGGAGGAGCAAATCTGGGTAGACACACTCAGAATTGGCAGGGTGAGGTCAGCACCAGCTTCCAGGCAGCCTGTCTGCCTTCAAACGATCCAAACCCCTTCCTGCATGAACTCTGTGTAACTGGGTCTCCGCGGCAGCAGAGGTTATTTTGGTAGGACAGTATCACCTCGCCAGCCAGGCTCCCCTCAGGACTGATGGATGATCAAGAGAGTTCATGGCTGTTTAAAGAGTGCAGGGAGGCACTGCTAATGGCAAAGCAGCTCTGAAACACAACAGGAAAAACACATGTATGTCTGGTAACTTGAACAAATAAGTATAAAGGGGCAGATCAAATGACATATGCCAGCATAGCTGTCTGATCAGTAATGTAAAACTCTCTCCGTTAACTCATGTTGGCTTTCTTCTTCTTGCTTAAGGTATGCTGTGAGACTAAAAACCCACTCAGGCCCCAACGCCACGCCAGAAGACAAACAGCTGGCAGCATTATGGTTAGTAGATCAAGCTTTCCTCAAAAAGCTTATTTTCTGCAGTGAGCCAGTTCTTGAAAATCAGATATTGGATGCAGCCAGATAGAATTATGTTCTCTATTGAAATTAAGAGAATATGTTCTTCTCTGGGAAGGTCCAGTCCTTGTATCACTGTACCAAGTCTCCATGCTGTCTCTGTAAATAAGCAATTCATACTTATTTATTGACTATGACAGGTTGGCTATGGTACGTCAATGTAATTAATTTTTAAATGCCTGATGGTTTGTTGTTTTTATGAGTGATGTACTTTTGTACCAACAGCTCGGTAAGTTCTTTTGTGGCTGACATTTTAGGCTCAATAATCATAAATTATATTTATATTATATGAAGGGCAATATGGTGATGGGGATAATTAAGCCTCTTGGATTATCTGTTAAATTGAGATTTCTAAATATATATGTAAGCACCTTAGATTCTATAGGACGGCTTCTGATTGCTAGTAAAATACTAGAATGTTATTAAAATCAATTTTTAATTTTATATCTGTGTAGTTGATACATAAAATACCTATTATATGGTTACTGAGTCTCAGTAAGTGGACATTTACAATCAGCAAGTGTGTTTTTAACATCTATTAACCATCTGTTAAAAATCCAAATTAAATGCATCTTTAGCCTCCATAAAGAAGGAGTCCTAATTAATCATTTGTCTAAAAAGGAACCAAATATTCAGAGATTTTTTTTTTTTTTTTTTAAATGCCCTTTCCCTGACACTGGTTTTCTGTGCCATTGCTTTAAAAATGCTTAGGTGGGAAAATGACTAAGGTACGGTTAAAAAAGGACATATAAAGCCGTATTACAAAGGCTCGCTGAGAGCTGCCGGAGCGCTTCGGTGCGTGCGGAAGCACATCCAAATTCAGGGAGCCGCTGCATCTGTTCCAGCAGGAGAAAGGTCAGCGCGAGGGAAAGCAGACGGAGCCTTCTCTGGGCGATGAATGGCAATCTTAACTCACCGTCTGCCAGCCAGCAGATGAGCTGATACCATTTGCATATGTGCTGTACCTGTGAAGGTGACAGAGGGAGAGTGACGGCGGTGGCTGCGCGGCCGCCGCATCTCGCGGCTGCTCCCGGCGCCCGCCGGGCAGGCTGCCAGCCCGCCCGCTCCCGGCCCGCTTCTCCTGGGGAGACACTGTCCTCCAGCGGCCACGGCCGGGATTTCACCGCCGCGCTCCGGACAGCAGCTAGCCTGGCTCAGCAGCCCTGCCTGCGATTGCGTTTGTTCAGGGACCATTTGATAATTCGAGGCGTTCACTGAGGTGTGGGCCGCTCTTAGGAGCGGGAAGATGGGGGGGCACTCTGCATTTCCAAATTCAAAGCACCTTCTGGTGCTCCAAATTGGCTCCAAGACTAAATACTGTTTTTAAAAACAAGACCTCTGCTGCCAAAGGAAAAGCAAAACACACAGGGTTTTTGCTTCGAAAGCAGCGTTACTGTGGGACACTTTCACGCTTGCTCCAGTTTTCACATTTTTTCAATCCAAAAACCTTGCTGGGAAAAGGTGATGGTGATTCTCAATTCAGATAATAGACTGGTACACTAAAGCTGTTAGCAAAGAAAAGTGTATGTGTCCTGAATACTGACTACTTTGGTACATAACTATAGTCAATAGCCATTACTCTCATTTAATTATGTAGCTTTAAAGGCGTGTGGCACTCTGCAGACTAACAAGGAGCACAGGGGCAGACAGTACCAGCACAGCACTTTGAGTTTTTCAGCCCACAACTGGTTTCCTCTGGGGACCAAATTAGGCAAGTGGCCTGGGAATAGCCTCCAGGCTCCAACACAGCCTCTGTTCTGGTTTCCTACAGAGAAGCTTGGCCACTGAAATCTGTGCCAGCTCCAAGATTTCCCTTTATCCCAGCCATCTCCAGCTACTGGATGAGACCACTGGGTGTATACAAAATATATCCACTATAACTCGAGTTCACTATACAAGCTCCAGGCTATTGCAATGAAGTCCCAAGATAAGATATCTCAAAAATCTGTTTATGGATTTGCAAGAAAAAAATACCAAAAAAAAAAGCATATTTTGAGTTCCAGGATGTTTCTTTTCATTTTGGTCAAGTGTGCAGACTTCAAGCCAGAGTGAAAGCCTGGGAGCCCAGACCCTTCTGAGTATAGTTTGTTTAGTACCTCACTGGTAGCATTTCTGAGCATGACTTGCCCTGGCTGTAGTACCTAGCTCTGCTCATGAATCCATGGCAAAGTGTGAACTACTGCCAACAAATGGTGATAAAAACTTGTAAGCAAGGTGCTGTCAGCCTTTCACTCTGTGTTAGTTTGAGGATTTAAGATATTCTGTGGGATTTCTGTTCAGGAGTCACCCTTTACTGTCTTCTTTCTATTCCAGTTACCGCTGCCTGGCCCTTCTGTACTGGAGGATGTTCCGACTCAAGAGAGACCACGCGGTCAAGTATTCTAAAGCGCTTATCGAGTATTTCAAGGTGCATTATTTATTGCATGTTTTTAGACCAGTGTGTCTTAACAGGAGATACAGCATCTTACTAGAGCAGTAGCTGTGCTGGGATTAGTTTTTCCCCTGTGAAGTCAGTGGCATTTTACCATAGACTCCCATGGCAACATCTGAGCTCTAGTTAGTTCAGTTATCTTCACAAGGGTCCCTCTTTGAAAAATACACACTGTGGCCCTTCAAAAAGGATGATAAATTTGTCATAGTAACAAACAGGTATTTTCACATTATTCTTGGTCAACTGTCTAGCACTATCCAGCTCTGTTGTGAATAGGTTTTGCAGATTTTGCCCTAAGAATCCCCCTTCAGGATTACACTTCCCACAAGTGGACGACTTTGATCTAGATCAGTCCTCAGATGCAGGCCTTCCACTCAGCAGCATCAGTAGGTGGGACAGTGCAGTGGGACATCTTACACAGGGAGCTATCAAAAAGCCCACACTGAGTTCAGCAGGAGTTGTACAGAAGCATCAGAGGGCAGACAGACCACCTGCCACGTACTTGACATGGCACTGTTGGCTTCCCCTTCCTGCTTTGCTTGACCTGTTACTGCTTCCGTTTTCCACTTCTGACAAGTCCAAACACTATTTATTTTGAAAAAGACTGGAAGTCTCTCTAATTATTTTAATACATTTTCTTAGGCAACATTTCTCTGGAAAGTATGTCAAGCACAAAATCTTTCAGGTGAAGCTCACCTTGCAGTCAATCCATCCAGCATGTGATGTACAAGTACAAAGATTAGCCTTTATCTTCCTAATTAAAAAAACAAAAATATTAACATACAAATGTTTTAAGACAAACTGCTCTGCTGAACAGCCATTTGTCTTCAAACACAGGGCTCATCTGTTGGAGTTTTTTTGCAGACAGAAGAACCTTGAAATGAAAAACATCCATCCTTTGACATTTTGTTAATAAAAAAATTCAATACAAGCACAAATGCTTATGACCAAATTCTGAACACATGAAGACAGGGAAGGGAATTGACAGATCCGTTATTGTCAAATGGAAATTGAAGTCAATGTAATTGCTAAAAAAATTTAACAATATATATTTCAACACATTATGTTTCTCTAACAATTACTTGATTTTGGGGGAAAGAAATTTGTGCCTATTGAAGTACTTTATTTTTCTTGACCAGTTCAGAGAATAGCTGTATTAAGAACAGCTCTCAACCATGTAAAATGCCTCCTGCTAGCAGACAGACTGTTTCACAGCAAACATAAAATGGACTTACACTCTACTGTAGCCAAGAAGAGTTTGGTTTTTTGCAGAGCTCCCGCTGACACAATGATAGCATAGCTTCACATTAGAAAGTATTCTCACCTTTAAAAGCAAAAATGAAAAAAAAAATCCATTTGCTATAATTTTCAGTGGAAAACAAGCCAATTCTCCACTTCTTTCATATTTGGTATCTAAAGGCTTTCAAAACCAAGTGACATGAAATGCTGACTGCATTAAGAACTTTCTCATGTATTATCAGTCAGAGAAAGATTTTAAATCTTCTCACACATTTGCAGGGAAACACAGACACAATTTACTTTTAGAAAATAAAAAAATACTACTTAAATCTCCTTTAAGTGTTTTATTTCCATTATTAAAAAAAAAAAATGCAGCAGAGTATTAAAAAGAAGGCACGGATTTTCAGGGGCCAGGCACATAGGAGAACATAAAGAAACCAGGAGCAGTAGGGAAAGTGGGATAAGAGATGGTCCCTTACAACATTATAGTCTTTAGAATCCTTACCCCCACCTTTCTGCTGCAGAACTGAGAGGAAGCCAAAGCAATGTACCTAAAATATGAGAAAAAAGGTGTGTGGGAAGTTGTACAGTAAGGCAGAGGTTGGTTACATTTACAGTGAAAGTATCCTTGACTCCAACTTTCAAATTTTCCTGCTTCCAACTCTGTAAGTAAACAGGTACTCTGTTTCTATTACACTAGAAAGATGAAGACAAGTAGTTCTGAGAGAGATCAGAAAAGAAAGGGAAAAAAAAAAATAATCTATTCTGTAGCAAGATCAAATGCTGAGGATGCCCAGGTTGATTTTATTTAAGATGGTAAATGAGAAATTTTCCTTTTTTATCTTTTCACACCTTAGCTTTTCCTATCAAAAGAAAATAAAAAAAAAAGAAAACCCTCTGAAGGAAAAACCCCTTTTGGGACACTCCAAAGCTTATTTTTCATACCATGTACCTGGGACATAGAAAACCCAGTGTCAAAATGCAGGAAGAATGACAGGGTAGACACAGCACTGGTATGATCATTGCTAAAATACAGCCAGTGTTGGGGTGCACATAAAAGATGTGGAAACCCAAGAGGCAGTTCAGAAGACACATTAAAACAGAGAAAACAAACTTTTTTGAAGAGAGGCTCAGGAGATGTGTCCAGTTTAGTGCTGAATAGGTTACGAGATCATTGTACATGGAAACAGAGCTGATAATTTGCAGATTACATGTGGTTTTGCTGGCTTTGGACCAACAAAATCCAAAAGCCAGCACTGAAATTAGGAAGGTTCAATCTTGAAACTGTGAAACGGTGTTTGTTTTTCTAATTGTGAGGCCTACTAAACATAGAACAGGACACAGAAGAACAAGGAGGATAAATAGTGTCTAAGAATTTCTATATGGCTATCTGTCCTTTTTAGAAGGAATAAAATAAGATAAATTTTAAAAGTAATTTAGCTTCTTTTAGAAGTGTCCTGATTGGTGAAAAACAGACACTGCAGATTGTGTGCACTGCAGGATTACTCCTGGCCTTGAAATCCATGAACATCTGAAGCCCCTTGTTTACCATTTTCCTTCCTAAGCCATGAGAGACCAAGAGGTTTTGTACTGCTGGTACTGCTTGTAACTCCTGCAGTTTACAACACCTGCAGCCTTGCATTTAAAACAGTATCCATAAACAGATCTCAAGCTGCAGGACTTTGGTCTCACATGGATTTCAAGAAGAGAGGTCTGTTCTCCAGCACACAATTACCTGCAGGTTTGGCTTCAGGGGAGAGAACAAGGAGGTTACCTTCCTCTGAAGAATCAGAGACCGTTGCTGAATGAAAGACTGTGGATGGGATGGACTAGAAAAGCTGGTTTCTTAGACTTCTTTCTCACAGGCCTAGGACTAAATCAGTCACTTGGGAGAGGAGTGGAGTTTTTCAAAGGTCAAATGGTCAGGAACCAGTGAATTCCCTCCAGCTCCTGGAGTTTTAACTACTAAAATCATTTTAGCTATTCAGTCACCATTACTGCTGACACCTTAATGTCTCCTGCTCTGTAAATACAATGCTTGTACAAGGTAGTCTCTCCTCAAGCAATGAAATTCTTTAGCCTAAGCACAATATACTAGAGAGAGTCTTAATGACTCCAGGTATACAAGAGACCACACTAAATGATCAAATGGCCCCTTCTGGGTCTCTGGGGAATCCTATGAAAACCACCAATCTCCATGGGCAGTCTCTCTGACCTTGTGAATGCTGCCACGTTTGCATCAAAGGGAACAGCTCCACGAGGAGCAGTCATGAGCAAGATTTTTGAGCCTGAAGGTTAAAACACCCACCTGAGCTGAAGATCCTCAGATTCACATCCCTGTGGATGCCAGGCTGACCAGATTTGCAGTCTTGCAGGTCCTAGGGGAATGACATTTGTCATTGGGGGCAGGAGAGTGGGAGGAAATCTTTCAGATTTTCTTCATCACAAGAAATTCCAGCCTAAACTTCACAAAGAGTCCTGCAGCACTTTCTTCCTTCTGAATTCCCAGGATTTCTGTGAAAAGTTTCCATTTCACCTAATGTTTTTTCTAAACAGCCCCTATGCCAGGGTGTTTAAAAGACTATGTTTCAAGTCTGTTCTGCAGCACTGCTTCATCGTAACATAGAATTAGGCCGACTGGGTTTATTGCATCATGAGATGCAATTGCATCACTTTCTTTACATTTCTGTACTTTAATACTCTTTAATGTTTTCATTTTTTAGTCCTGTATAAATTACATGCATTGTGATTTACTCTTTCCTTTCCAGAATTCATCAAAAGCTGCCCAGAACCCTTCTCCTTGGGGTGCCAGTGGAAAGTAAGTTGCACAGAAACTTTTATCAGATTGACAGTTAGAAATAGTACATTTTTATCTGTGGTATGTTCTGATTCTCTTGTGTTTTTAATCCCAATACCTTTTAAATAACTGTAGTGACATTGGTTTCTAGGAGCACAGGAACTCCATCACCTATGTCCCCAAGCCCTTCTCCAGTCAGTTCCGTAGGATCCCAGGGGAGCACGGGGGCCCCTTCCCCATCTCCTATCATCAGCATCCCACAGCGCATTCATCAGATGGCTGCCAACCACGTCAGCATCACCAACAGCATCCTGCACAGCTATGACTACTGGGAGATGGCTGACAACCTGGCCAAGGAAAACAGAGGTGAGCAAGGCAAGGCAATGGACTGTTCTAGAAGACTGTCACATTATTTGGATCAGGAAAATAACTATTTTTATATGAAACCTGTCTGCAAAGTAGGACTGCAGAGATTGTTTCTTTCTTCAGTCTCCTCCTAGTCTGTTCTAAAACAGCCCAAAAAGGCAATTTTGATAGCTGTCTTGCTTGGAAGAGTTGAGCCGGGACTTGTGACAGAGAGGTCACAGACTTGGCTGTGAGTAGCACTTACTGCCATCTGTGCATTCTAGAAAGGTTTGTGGAAGGTAGAACAGCTTCCTGCCCCCAAAGTCATGCAGCTGCATGGGATGTGTTTAGCCAGACCTCATCATAATGCAGGAGCACACCTCCTTTCTGCAGAAGAAATGAAGAGCCCCTAGCCCTCCCCTATCCGTAGCAGACACAAATTGGAACAAGGTGCCTGCAGCAAACTTCTCTCAGGTGAACTGGTTCCCATGAGCAAATGCCTCAGCATCTGAATTGATGGTGAAGTAATCCCTGGTTTTCAGGCCAATTTGTGTATTTAAGGCAGGGACATGGGCAATGTCTGAGTCAAAACAAGGGCACCTAAGTGAAGGTGTGTAGATACGAGTTGTGGGGCTCATCTCCCATTGCAGTTGATGAAGCTTTGCTCAATACAAACAGCAGTTCAGGGTGCTGTTCAGTCCACTCTGAAAGGGACACAAGGATACAATTCATTGAGGTATCCTTACCTAAGCTGCCACTCCAGAACTCTCCTGTACATCCTGTGTTAGATCTGCCAGTCTGGGCTGTACCAACTCTCTGAGAGCATCTCTAATGGGTACTACATGTCTCCGAGTGGACAGCTGAATTGTCCCTATCTATGGCACAGGGAATGGAACTGGCTGATCTTTAAGGACCCTTCCAACCCAAACCATTCTGTGACTCTAAGTCCTTACTGGCTAATTAGCCAAGTTACTCTTTAGGCTGGGTTGTCCATGTTGTAAAGGCCTCTGTTTCTCTGTCATGGTATCTTAAATATCTAGCATATCACAAATGTGTCATTGGACACTTGTGTGTAGACTTTTTGATCTACTTGTCCTCAATCTCGGAATAAATCTTGCCCAGAGTCCGTTTGCTTTAACAAGACTCAATGAAAAGTAAAGCTGAAGAACTCACTGCTTTGTTCTTTGAAAAGAAAATTGTTGTGCATCAGCCTGTAACATCATGAGCCACGGGGCTTTAAAATTAATCTCACCAGCACTAAACTTCCATTCCCATGGAATCTTCAGCCTGACTTAATTTGCAAGAGAATAAAATCTGTGAAAAGGTAACAAGTAGCAAATAAATATTCACTCTGAATCTTTTTTTTTTTTTTTTCCCCTGCAGATTTTTTTAATGACTTGGATGCATTGATGGGACCTATCACCTTGCACAGCAGTATGGAGCATTTAGTTCAGTACACTCAACAAGGACTTCACTGGGTGCGGAACAGCGCTCACTTGTCATAATGACTGTGTGCCATTCACATGGACAGTATCTCTTTCATGGATAATTCAGTTATTCTGGACACTGTGCTACAGAAATAGTCAGCTACAGCATTGATACAAACAAAGGTGAATATTTCTTCAATATTGAGCAAAATTCTTCTGAGTGTAGACATATATGTGTGCAGAGATACAATATACAATGATGTCTCTTCAGAATGAATTGTTCTGTATCACTCTCCAAACATTTTCATATGCTAGAAATACTATAAAGAACTGATCTTAATGCACAAACATACCCTTTCTATTCTTGTACTGAAAAACTCCGAAACCAAAATCTTATGGGTTGATTGAACCAAGTGCAATAAGCACAGATCCCTATTCAGGAAAGCTCACAATAGATTCTTAACTTTAAGCTTGTACTGAAATCCTGATGACTTCAGCAGAGCTTAAGCACATACACAAGGGCTTTCCTGAACTGGAATGAATGAAGGCAAATCGTAGACATGGAGAATTTTTACTGCGAGCATGGACACATCACAGAAGTTCCCATATTAATGTGCCATCTCCCTGTTACTTCTCCACTGGAGCACAGAGAGGAGTTGTGTAGTCCGCATTAAGTCGGAGAAAGACAGCATTCCTTCATGTGCAATAAGTTTCAACAAAATGCATGCATTTCTTTATCTCCTGTCTTTTTAAATAACTTCACGTCTTGTTCAGCTCCTCACCAACAGTGCAACCTACAGTACCAAGCAAAAGGAAGGCCTGAAAACAGATATGCTGATAGCAGGAACTTAAAAGAGATGGTGAAAAATTTCATTCTGTTACTGACAGTAAAGAGATAAGGAAAAAATACAGCAAACAGTAATTCACTTAGGAAGGAAAATGTGTTAATTTCGGCTGCACACACACACAGACAGATATTTATAACAGTTGTTGGCTTTGCATGGGAATGCTTCATCCCACAGATTTTGACCTTCATATCTTTTTCATCTACCAGAAGCTTGCAACATTTTCTTCCAGGCTGTATGGGAGCATTACATGCAATTTCCTTTATCTGGGAAGCCGAGTTTGCTGCTCATCAGGCTAAGAACTGTTTCCTATCATAATCCTCTCACTCTTCATGCATAATCCTCAACTAGGCTTTAACATTTCTTGATTTATGGGATGTTTTCAGTTCCTGTTGACAGGCTGTGTTTTTCATGCCAGAAGAATTAATCCCACAATAATTGGAGTTTAATTTGGGTCAGATAAGGTCAAGGCCAGTTTGTATCAACTGTGCTTGCACTCAGTGCATTTTTGTTCATATTCAGTGGTTTTCACATATTTAGAGGGGGTTTTTTCCCTATATTGGAAATACTTTTTTTTTTTTGCAATCAGATTTGCTGCCTTTACTCAGATCAGCAGCTCTGGTGACTTTCAGTGGACTGTTCTTGTCCAAGTCATTAGTTGAACCCTTTCGCTGTTATTTTCTAATCTAATTTGCTTATATGTTAAGAAAATATGAGTACAAAAGACACTTTCCTTGGAAGATACATTAGAAGTAGCCACTGATACAAATCATTGATTCATTTGTTCTTGCTGCCATTTTTCTTCTGTCCCACATTTTTGAAGAGATGCATTGTGAAGAAAAGATACCAAACAATATGGCACAATTTCTCAGTCAAATGTCTTTTGTAGCACAGACTCCATGTACCCCGAGGTAAAGAGTGGGCTTATGAGCACACTGAGCCCCACATAGCTGTGTTTTTCTGCCGAGGCTGCTCACCATAACTCCAGTTATTGCTCAGTCTCAGAGCATTCACTGTGTTCTCTGAAGCAGCCACCAAGGAACTGCTCAGCCCCAAGCCATCCTGGGCCAGTATTTCTGTGCCCATCGGTGCTCAGATAGTTTCCCCCAAGAGAATCCCTGTGGCTTTGGTCACCTCTTAGCATGGATTGAGTGTTACAATGTGGCTGGCTTTAGGAGAGAACATGTACTTGCCTTTAAGTGACAAAATAGGTGACCTCTGAGTCCTGCTGTCACCCTTAGCCCTGACTGTCACCCACCCCAGAAGGAACACAATTTGTTTCGTCACAAGTATCCTGGAGAACTTGATCGGTGCCTTTCTGTTTATCACTTCCCTGGTCTCCAGCTGTGGAAGTCTGTCAGGATTTGCTAGACTAGTAGCAACAGATTCTGTCAGCTGCTTCAATGCCATCCACAGGTACTGCAGGATTTCTCTTCAGATCAGGAAAGTGAAACTCCAGCTAGATTAGCTTCTGTTTTCTTTGATGGTGCCTATGACGTTTATCTTCAGATAAGTTTGGGGGGTTGGGAGCCCTTTCTGCTATTTAATGTTGAGAAATTTTAGCAGTAACATATATTACTTGCCTTAAATGGAGTTTAGTTTTATTGCACATGTGGCATTTGAGTTTCAAATACGGAACTTTGAAGCATGTTTATTTTACTAAGATCGGGATATTTTTCTTAATCATGATAAACTCTTTGTATGGATATAATATGTCAAGAAACTTCAAAGAAATGCAAGAATTAATGGTGTTCTGTTGTAATATTTCCAAGTACTAAGCATCTCTGTAGATGATTGTCCTTTCCTGTACATTGCTCTTATACTGAGTTATTTCAGCTAAAATACCTACTGCTTCCATGGAAATCTGGTTTTTAGTTTTTGTGCTGGCATCATCTGTGTTGTTTGATGAGCACACTGAGCCTTAATTTCTGGTGGTGCAACAGGATGAGTGGATTAGAGGGGTTGGCCTTCTCTCCATAGGGTTTCTTGCAGCTATACTATTTTAGTGAGGTTATTTAGAATACTCTTTTGTGCAGGCTATTTGCTGTATAGGGTTGACTGGATGACTGAATGTGGCATGGCGATAACAAATACTTAATTTCATCTTCTTAGGGCCTTGTCTGCAAAAGTGCATGTGACTTTAGGTCTGGTCCAGTTAAGCATATACACCACTTTAAGAACCTGAATAGTCTCAGGCATATCACACTATGAGTCAAAGATGCTCTGTGTGTTTTGGGTGGGACCAGAGGAGACTGTCCTTCTTTGCAGTTCCATGAAAGACACTGATTTATTCTAATCTGCTGTAAAAGTCCAGGAACATGCAAGTTACTTTAGCCATAGCAATATTCAGATTGAAGTTTTGAAAAGTAAAGAGTCATTCTGTACAAACCCAGAAGGATTATGCCTGGAGGAAGATGCTTACAAACAGGGGTTTCTGAATCATAAGAGTTGATACAGCAATGGGAGTGGATTCAAAGGAGCTGTGTATTGCAGGTGGACTTGACAAGTCCAGAATGGCCTATAGGATCCTCACAAACAGCAAGATCATTCAGAGCCCTTGGCCTTAATCCTTTGTAGTATGGGATGGTGGCATGAGTGTCAGGTAAGAACAAAGTATATGCAGAGGTTCAAGTGTGGTCAAAAGCCAGGCATAGTCCTTCCTGTCGTATGGCAGGATACCCAAACCCCGTGTTTGCCTATTTCTTTTGTCCAAGTAACACAGAGCTCCAAAGGAAGAGATTATAGTGAACAGAAGACCTTAGGTAAAGGAGGTTAAGAGGTTCAAGCCCCAAGTGTAGATACAAATACATATGTATATACTGTAAATCTAAATAGTAATTAAAGTCACTCAGCATGAAGGATATTACTAGTGCCTACCATTGATCATCAAGTACTCATCACTGAGCAGCCATATCACCTCAGAAGTGCAGTAGCTGTTGTCAAAATAATTTGTGTAGCTAATTAATTTATATGAAATGCACCTTTGGGACTGTGCCATAGTATCTCTTTTATAATACAAATGTTCAACCATTTTTCATGGCTACCGATTCAAATCTGAAATGTCAGGATACCTTTTCTTCCCCAGACGAGGACATACACTTAGACCTGGCTAATCTGTACTTAGTTCATTTACCCAAGAGACTTTAGTAGTCACCAGCCTTAACGCATGTACAGTATATGCTATTCACTGACTTAGTTGTAGGTTTTAATCCAAATGAAGTTGGAATTTGCAAAATTACTTGGATTAATGGCATCTGCCTAGATATCTTGCAGATGTGACATTAAATGATTCATAATTTTAAGCAGGAAAGTTTGAATTTTATGTAAATAAAAGTGGATGAATTCCTTGATCTTTTTACAAGATGATTTTTTAAAAATGAAAAGATGGTCAAAGCAATAGGTTTTTTTAACTCTCCTAAATTTTTGGCAGGTCATGGGTTCATGGTAAAAGCTATATTAAGAGCATCTCCTTCTGCAGTATGCCTTGTCTTTACATAATCCTCTTAATGCTTAATATGTCAGAAAGAAATGTTTCTTGTTCACAGTGATGGCAACGTCTCCCTCCCCCATTCAGGGAGAATCCTCAAACTAAAGAATAAAATCTCCTGGCACAACAGAAATACAAACAATGCCTGAAGTATACAGACTTGTTAAGGTAGTAACAGGAGTCTGTCTGACACACACCTAACATGCCTCTCATTTTGTTATCTTTTTGTTATCATTTACATCACATATTTGACCTCACTGTATTTGAAACTAAAGAATTAGTCTAATTTTCATATCTTAAAAATGCCTAGTTGGTCTGATCAGTATCATAATTATAACGGTTACATTAGGTTATGTGCACCAGCCCTGTGCATCAAGGACTGGTAAGGCATGTAACCATAGATAAATTTGTCAGAATGCATTCAGAAAAGCATTTGGATGATCTTATATCTAGTATGTCTTAACAAATGTGAAACTATGTCTCTCAGCCAATATTGTTAGCATGAAAATTCAGCTACTTTTCTATCTCTCACAAAACCGCTGTTTGCCCTCAAAAACGCCGAGCCTCCATTTTCAGCGTCACTGGCCCCCGTGCTGTAAATTGCACTTAAGGTTAATTAACAAACTGGCAAAGTCACTTTAGGTCCTGTTTGTGCTAACCTGAATACGACTACAGAGAGGAAGAGCATTAAGATTTAGAGCATCCGCTGGTCTTTCAAAAGACTATGGTTTTCCTCAGTGAGATGA